CGCGCCGATTCCGCCGGCCGTGTAATTTACGCTGATCGATCCGTTCGCGCTTCGTAACGCCCGCGGCGGATTTATTTGTCCAGACAAGAGGACGTATGTATTTATATGCGTGTTCTCTTTTTATTTTTCCGTGTGAACCGCGACGAAGTGGTCGGTAGAGGTTCGACTGCGAGTCTGGAACCGGTGATCGAGTCGTTTGTTGTATTTTCATCTAATTTCGTCGATTTTAATGGCAAACAGGGTATGGTGAATAGGGTATGTCCGTCCAAGTTTATTTTCATAGTTCGATGGAAAAGTTTCTTTGAACTTCGATGTAGATTCGTCAAGCTGTAGATATTCGATATTCTAGTATTATAGCATGGTCTTATGACAATATGTTATTCGTTCCAGTAGGTAAAAATAAATAGGAAATATATTATAGTATACTCGTGCTATAGAATATTACTTTTCGTATATAATCTTTGGTTCAAACCACGTGGCTCTTACCTCTATACGAATATGAAAAATTGACTACTCTATACCTTGGCAGAAACCGAAACACAACTATAGAAGAGGATACTGTATAGACAAAACCAGATACTCGTCTGCTTCTCCGCCATTAACCCTTTGCACTCGAGAGGCGAGTTATTTAATTCGCCATTTAATCAGATTTTGACGACCGATATTAATTAAAATATTAAATCTACGACAACGTAATAGCGTGGGAGGTATTGAAATTAAATAATTCTATGTGTTAATTGTGATATGATTTTTTATTTAATATTCTGAAAAATATTATCGGTTTTATAACAGAAAATCTTTGAATTTCTACTCTTCCATTGCGAAAAAATCGTCGAGTGCAAAGGGTTAAAAGCGAACAAAATACAAACCGATATACCTGATATTCTACAACCCTAAACGACAAATTCATAGGTTCCAAATCCACCTTTGTCTTAAAAAAGAAAAACTCAGAGATCTCTGCACGATACTTTCATTTTCACGGAAAACTACCGATCAACCCCCAGGTGGACTTATTTATCCCGAACCCGACTGGTCTACCCTTTGATCTCGCGGAATGGAATAAAGCTCGAAGGGATCCCGGCCTCGTCGATTGTTTCCCCGTCTCGCGGACGAAAGCAGGCCGAAAGTCCCTGAGAATCCGTTGGTCCACGAATTCCTGGCCAATTACGACCAAGTCCCGTCTCTTCCCCGGGGTAACGACGATTCCAGCGATTTCTTCGTTCCTACTCCTGACTGGGGCGGGGGACCCGCTCATCCACCCCGTCGTTCCATCGGCAAAGATCTCATACATATTAATGGCGATCCGATCGATTCCGAGGCGAGCTCGCTTCTTGCTCTGTTTAGGCACGTCGACGTTTCGGCGCGTAAGCCCTTCCGCCGGCCACAATGGTTATTATGCCATTAACGTAATGAAGTTAGGTGGCGGTGAAGGTTCCGGTGCCTGTGGGACGGCCTGTGGGACGGCCTGTGCCTTGCTCCATATACGAAGAACGTGATAAAACGGGGAATCCAGGGGTTGTTTCGAAAGACCATCCTTGCGTACGTTTCTTGATTAATTATTATTATTAATAACAATAATATTTATCGATATAGTCAACATCCCCCTGATCTATGTATCCGTGAAATTCTTAATGAAGAAATTGCAACCCCTTTCACGATATTATTACCCTACTTCCGATTTTTGATGTAACTACGACGCAACGTCTATTAGAGTTTTAACCCTTTGCACTCGAGAGGCGCCTCTCAGTCGCCATTTAACCAAATTTTAAAGAGGGATGTTAATTAATATATCTAACTTACAATTACCCAACGATCCGTGGAATATCGAAGTAAAATAACTCTACGTCTTAATTTGCATACGATTTCTTATTCACCGTCTTAAAAATATCGTCGACTTTATGGCAGAAAGTCTTCGAATTATAATTTTCCAAAAATTGCCGAGTGCAAAGGGTTAATACCTGCTTTTTCAACCCCAAATTTAAATCGAATCAGTGACGAGGTTAACGCTAAAAATTGTCAAGAGAATATCGACACACTTTCCGGGGGTACGCGAAATTCGTTTTTAATTTCGCTGATACACATGCTCGATAAATTTTAAATGAGCGATGTATATTTAAATTTAATTAAACTAGGTTACATTCAATTTTCAAGCTCAATAATACCGGCTAAAAATTTAATCATCTTTCGTGTTGCTCCACGAACATCCAGCCTCGCGCGAACTTGAAATATTAAGCTCGGAAAGCGTTTTAAACGGGTACACGCCTGGTGAAAAGCAACGAAATTTTTTCTCTTGCCAATATTTTCGTCAACCAGCATTTACAGGGTGCAAATACATGGAGAGGGTGATTCGACTCTCGTCGAATCGAAATTAATCGCAAGATAGGTATCGTGGTTGGCGCGCGAGCAAGAGGGAAACGTCGAAGAGAAAGAAGAGAGAAGGAGGATACCGTGTTTTGATCCTCGCTAATGCACCGCGATTAGCGTTTATTGTTCTTATACATAGATTGGAGCAAACGGTAAACAATTTGTCCCCGCGGTGGACCGAGTAACTACTATTAGATCGATTAAGTCAACGAGCAAGACGCACGCTTGATATGTTTAGGTGGCTGGGAACTGAATTCCTTGTGGCAACAACGCCGGTATTTGCCGATTGTATTTCTTGTATCAACAATTGAGAAACCCGCCTACGTCACGGAGCGTGATTGCTTCTGTTTTATCACCAGCCGAAACTGACATCAGCGCAACAGGGGCAAGTCTGAATCTCCTGTTTCTGGTTCATTAGCAAATCCTCGTTTGGAAATAGCTTTCTATGGTAGCGAGCAGGCCGAAGCTTCGGGCTGCAGTTAGTATCGATAAAAGGTTGATGAAGAGATTCCAAGGATTTAACCCTTCCACTCCTGAAGATGTATGACGTGAGACTACAACATGACTGCCTGACTGTGGACGCGATACAACGTCCATGGATTTCGAAGCTGTTAGAGCTTAGAGAATTCATTCTGAATGCTTAGAATGGTATTATATTTTCGTATTAAGTTTTCGTTAGATTTAAACAAAAATAAAATTTGTTAAATTAATTCGGGATAGGGTATTTGATACTCTCTTTGTAAGTCAGGAGTGAAAAGGTTAAGGAACCTCATCTATGGAAGAGCTAATTGCCCTGTCGAAGCTTCAAGTTGCAGTTAGTATGGATAGAAGAATATTTCATACTAGTAATTTCTGCATGTACAGGTTAATGGAAAGACTCCAAGGATTTAAGGAACCCTATCTCATTCCCAAAAATCGAAGATTCGAGTCTAAGGGACAATAGTTTACGACGACCAACATCCCACGACAATGATACCTCGCACACTGTTGCATTATCTGAAATTTGACATATTTACGAATATGGAGCTTCGAAATTTGATCAAATGGCGACCGAGGGACACCTCTCGAGTGCAAGGGATTAAAGTCGGAGAATCAACTAGCTTCGAAATTTGATCAAATGGCGACCGAAGGACACCTCTCGAGTGCAAGGGATTAAAGTCGGAGAATCAAGATAAATTCCTCAAACTGCGATAAGAGATAGTCAGAGAAGAGTCTCTAAATTCTAATTAAATACAACTCGAATAACCCACTTCCTTTGCTGCGTTGGCGAGGAATTAGTGGTTTAATCGAAGAAAGAAACGCAAGATTGGAAGCAGCTTTTGCCAACGACCTCGTGTTCTACCTCGTTTATGAAATCCAATAAATCTCGTTTAACGTGGACCGGTAGATGCCCGGCGCTATTTACATATCGCGGCTCGCGGAAGCAATTTGCAGCCGTAGACCTAACTCGTTAACACGTAGAAATTCCTTCAGCGCCGGGAATATTGCAAAAGAGGTTGCTACCTATCCGCGTGTCTTCTTTCGCGAGTTTTATGCCCGGGAATCCAAGGGAAAAAAGGTTTTTACAGAAATCATACGCGTAACCTTCCCTGGGAATAGAAGCCTAACTGGAGCAACCGGAGTCTCCTCTTTCACACGGCTCCCTTTTTAAACCTCGTTCTCGCTTCTCGGCTTGACACACACACGCACATACACACAACCGATGGATGAAACATCGCGTTTCGTTTCGATGAACGAAAATACTCGCCGATCCTAATCCTCGCAGGACCTATTCGGTCGCGTGGTCAAAAGGCCAGGCTAACGAGATCATAGCGATTCGCGCTAATCGGCCTCTCGGAGTGTCCCGAGCCGTGAAAAGCGAAACGACCCACATTCGAGGGCGGGAATAACAGATTAATTATCGCGGCCGTTCGAAAAGGGAGGTAATGCAAATTGGCAAATTATCGCGGCCGCCGGCGGAAAAGAGTGGCAGAGGACGAATCGGGGCGAGCAAACGCGGTTGCCTCCATAATTTAAGCGAACACCGGGGCTACCGGCACTTTAACGGGTCACGCTGATTAGTTGCAATGACAAAATATATCATTAGACACCGCGCCGTCTGCTGTCTCGTTAAAATGCTTGCGCGCCCGACACGAGATATCGCCGAGTAATGTATGCACTTTCCAACGTCACAATGTTGAGCTGCTATTAAGTAATAGTCACCGAGATATTTCTTTGTCGCGAGAGACATACTGACCGGGCTTGAATTTCGATGAAAATATCGCGTTAAATTTTACAAGTCGCGTTTTAGCATTTTCTCTCGCCTTCCTCCGGTTTTTGGCAACTGTTCCTTGCAACTTCAAGAGAATCTCAGTATTCGAACGAATACGGAATAGATAATTCGAGAGGAGAGTTTAAAATTACAGGAAGACTTGTAATTTTGAATTTAAACAAAATTATTCTTAATTTAAAAACGAAAATTCCTTATGCAAAGAATATCTTAATATCTGTTGCTTGATTATTTTGAACAATTTTGGAATTATTGTTAGAAACCCAAGTTGCGAATATAGTTAATGGATATTGATATAAAATGATGACAGATTTCTTCGAAAAATAATGGAAAAAAGGAAAAGGGAAAAATTGGAAAATTTACTCACCTGCACGTGGCTCCAGACCTTGGGTTTCGGGCTTGATCTCGCGTTGTTGGTTGCATTCGAACTTCCAGAATTATTTGAAACGCTTCCAGATGACGTTGTGGACTTGACGGACGGTTTCTGCGTTTTTTGAATCTGCGCTGTGACTGTGGTTGACGAATTGTTGCGTTGCTGTTGTGGCTGCTGCGCGGATATTTGCTGCTGTTGTTGTTGTTGCTGCTGCTGCGTTTGCTGCATGATCTGTTGAATGAGCTCGAGTTGCTGCTTGGTGAGGCCATCGTTGCTGGCACCAGGCGATGTGGCACTCTGTAAAATAAAAATGGGACAGAAAGGTCAGTAAAATTTTATAATTATCACGCTGATTACATTTTTATGAAATAAACATTCGCATTAACGATCGAGGATAGTCCTCGTGTCGATTGTATTTGATTTAAAATGGAGTATCGAGTGAATTCTCGATACTCAGTTAGGTACAGAAGAGCGGAAAGTAATGGGATTTTAAATAATAGCGATGAAAATTTCTAAAACCGAGAGATAAGTAGCGACTACTTTTCTTACTCGCTTTTTCTTGCAACTTTTAGAGTTTCCGACCCACTTAGGGAAGAGAGAAGAAAGAATAATTCTGCAGAAAAAAATTCGACCACGACCCAGAAACCTTAATTGATTAAAGCAATTCAGGTTGAAAATGCACTTGAAAACGGGAAACTTTGTCTCACTGTCTAACAATCTTCTGCAGGAACTCATTTTATTCGTCGTAAGTACTACCAACTCTTTTAAACACTTTCAATATCTTGATCGTGCCAGAAAATAAATCACAAAATCTCGACTATAGCTTCCATGTTTAGAAACCTTGTATTCTCACACCTAACGAGAATTTTTCTTTCCATCAACTCAAATACTCTTCCCCATCCATCAAGTATCCAAAAAATCACAAAATGAGCAATAAATCTTATCAAACTTCATATATAATAAATCTTATCACACTTCAGAAAAAAATTTCGATACAACCATAACGTGGTACAAAAATTGGAAAATAACCAGGTACGATCCACCATGACTTATCTAAAATAAACTTCTATCAGTATCAGTTCCTACTATCACAAACTGCAAGATTTAAATTACAAACCTACAGCAATAAACCTGGACTTCACGCGCCAAGAATATTCCCAAAGAATCACCCCGATTCACAAAAACCACCGTTCCTGGTTCCCTTCGTAAACGTTCCATTAATTCCAGTTTACACTAAAAACACCTCGCTGCTAATTCGCTGTTCGCAATTCCGCGCGGAAACCCGACACTGAATTTTAAAAGTGCACGCGCGCCATCTGTCTCTCTTTATCGATCGATGGCGGCGCATAGCTGAGCGAGTCGGCTTTTCCCTTTTCAAGAAATTCCAACCGCCATGGACGTTAACGACTATCGTAATATTCGCGAAAGGATCAAGCCATAAAATTCGCTGCATCGCCGCTACACGCCGCGCTTGCACGGGCGTAAACGCACGAAACGCGCGGCGCCCACGCGACCGAACAATGAAACTTAAAGCCGGGGCATATGTACACGCTGCGACGCACCTGGGCTATGGCGGCTCCCGCTGCGCCGCGCGCCGCCAAGCGGCTGTTTTACGAACCAAGCACCTCGTAGCGCGCGTTTTCTACTCGCTATTGCCAATTTTGTGGGATCTCAGGTCTACTATAGCACTTTTTGAGGTTTTGGGAGTATAATACGAGGATGGATTCGAGTATGGAAGGGAAGGATTATTTTGTTTCGAGACATTGTCTCTATTTAATGGCGGTGAGGAGAGTTTCTTGCGAATATATCTGGGATTTTGGATATATATAATAAAATCTAGCATGAGAGGTACTGTGAGAGATGGTTAATCTCTTACCTTACCATTTAAGTTTCAATAGTCAACAGCAACGTCGGTCACACGACGAGCCATGTCCTCTGAACGCGGTCAAGAATAACACGCAACTGAGAGAGGAAAACATCTGCGAAAATTAACCACGAGACTGTTCGAGCTTGACGATGTTTACGTTGGGTCTTATCTACAAACCACGCCCCTCACCTGTCATATTTACGTTTGGCTCGACTTCCTTACCATGAATCCTACCGGAATCACACGACGATGGTGTTTACTCGTGGAGAGAAGAATTTATTGCAAAGTTTCAGAATTGTTACAATAAGAATTACAAAGTGCATCTATCAAGTTCGATAAAGGAGTTTAAAAAAATGAATTTTTCAAATCTTATTTAAATATCTGCAAGAGTGTCTGCGTATAAACCGGATACCTCTTATCTCGGACCAGTTAATCGCCAAAAGTTTGAAGGAAAAACGCCATGGGGTTAACGCAGTTTCGCGTGGCAAGGCAAACCAAAAACGATAAAACAGTCGAATCACTTTTCAGATCCGAGTTCCTTCCTAAAACGCCAGATTCTCCGCCGCGGCGATATTTCTTTTCCAATTCTAAACCCCGGAGAAATAATATCCGGGCGATAAATTCGGATAGAACGGTTCTCGCATGAAATAAAATAAAAAGCGAGATGGACGGTGAAAAAAGGAGGAAGAAAAGGGAAAAAAGGAA